TTTAATCTATCGACATTTGTAATATTATAAGTGAAGACGCACAAAATTTTGTATTATTTTAAAATACTATTGAGAAACATTACGTACGAGTATGTTGCAAACAACTCGTAAAATATAAGGACCGACACGTTTTCTCGCGAAAATTACTTAAATTTATCTTTCAGCCCAAACTATTTACCACTTCACCCAAAACCCAAAAGGTAGAGGAGATGTGGTATTGACCTTTTCAGCCGCGATCCTTTATTTACAACAACCTCTGTCGAGCAAAAGCACTTCTATCGAGTTTATGTGTTATTTGCTTACGCCTGAGTAACACCGAAAAGAGAAAAAAGAAAATCCTCGAAAATCTTTTTTTTTTTCTTCTCGTAACGGCCATCCATCATGACAAACTGCAAAAAGTCTAATTGTATTTGAAACGTATTAAAAAGTTTCAGAAGCAGAAAAAGGTTAAGTGCAAACCATAAAGGAGGAAATGATTACTACAAATGTCGACGAAGTGAAAAAGAAAAATGCTGAGGAAAGTAAAGTGACATTGATGGCAATAAAAACTTGTTTCGAATGTGGGCAAAGATATCACGGGAAATAACAGATAACCGACAGATTTATATTTATGCCAAATAATTTAATTAATGACTGAATAAATTAAAAAATAAATTACTTTTTTCCGTGACTTTTACTCTTTCTAAGTTAACCTATTTGTTTTCAAATATCTGAAGTAGTAAAAGCATACTAAAAATATCATTTCACTAAGTAAATTAAACACATCCAAAGCAATCGAATCAAATATAAAATATTATTAAAAATTAAAAGAAATAATTTTATAACCATTTATGTAGGTGTTGCAAAAATTAATTCTATCCTCCGTGAATCTGTTTTTGCTTTAAATTTTATGCAACGGATGGCGCTTTAATCATTTTAAATAAGCAAAAACCTCTGTTTACGACATTATAGATGCATGTGATTCCTGAAGGTCAGTTAGAATTTATATGCAGATGAGAGTGTTGCTGTTTTATAATTCAAAAGTTTAAGTTCATTAATTTGCTATTTAAAAACCTATCCACCGTGAAGTGTAATATCTCAGTAAGTAAACTTTTTTTTATAAATATTTTATGTATGTAGGTACAATTGTATTTTTTTTAAATATTAAGGTGTCAAAAGATACAATTACTTATTTCAAATATACAAAAAAATATACGAAATACATGATTTCTTAAAATTCTTTAAATTAAATTTTATTTTTTTGTACGAAGTACAGTCAGTCATAGTATGCTCTTTTAATGTTTAATAAATAATTTTATTTATGGATCTGTCCAATATTTTTAAAATTTATACGTTGGACTGTAATAAATATAATTTCCCCAAATGCATTATTATTTAAATATTTATGGTTTATGTTAATTATTAAATTAAACTCGAAAAGTAAAATGTTTATTTTAATTAAATTGAAAATGGACAATGTAATATTAAATTTAATAGTAATTAATTATAATTATTATTTGTAGCTGACAAACAATTTTTAATCCCAAACATAAAACGAATAATCCAAAAATAAATATATCATTATTACAAAATTATACAATTTATATAATTTGGGAATATGCTTGCATTTTGATAATAAAGAGTATTTATTGCTTGAAGAAAAAAGTTCTTAGTGGAAGAGGTATAGTTCTCTTGAAAACAAATACAAAATCTCTTAAATGTTTTTCTTTCAACCAAGTGCAAAGTGTTTTTGTTCAAAAGCTATGAAAATTATTTATATTCACTCAATTCATTCAAGATACATCACAATCATCCCAATAGCATGTCAAATTTCTAACAAAATCTGGTAGCTTCTGATATATGGGAGGGGATGCAAAACGCGTGTTTAGTACGTTTTGTATCATTGCAACTTGCACTTCACCATTTTATAGGGGCAGTGATATAATATTATAATTCTATTATAGGTATTTCTAATATACATTTTGCCGGTTGTGTTGTGTTGAATGTACTTTCACAGTGGAGTTGGAATCATTAAATCACTTTTTTAAAATTTAATTAATTTTTTTAATGTTTTTGAAGGTAAGGTATCAATTAAAATATGTAATAAAAATTGTATGTTAAAACATATTTATGTTAGGTACTTTATTAGTGTTATAAAAAACTTGCGCTTTTGTTGATATATCAAACAATTCCAAGGCTTTTCAATTATGAGATGCAGTTTTCTTGTTGAAATCCCATATTTTAAAAAACGTTTTCTTCATTCAAAAGATAGAAGAAATATTTTTGGTTCTTGTACCAAGAAATCTCTCCCCTCAAATCTGATTTAGATTAAGAAACATAGCTCTTGGCCCAATTCAAAAGCGAAAATCTTTTGAATCAAAGTGATTTTTATTTCTTTTAAGAGATTATTTTTTTCAGTGTAGGTTTACTTTAAAATTCTTAATTAATATAAGTTTTTAAATTTTTTAATATATTTTAGGGCTTGGCAGGACTGTGCAAAATTATTTGTTTAACATGTTGTACCACATCAAGGGGATAAGCCGCAAATTTATTAATTTAGAGCGACGTTGTTCTCCTATATATATAATTTTGTCGTAATGGGGGAGAGGATATTATTAGTCGAAGTGAATTTCAGTACAAACATAATTAATTTTCCATAATTTGGTTAAGAGAATATAATATTGGAAACTTAATAACCCTGAGCCAAACTGTTTGAATTCAATCGATTAATAGTAACCCTTTGTGTGGTTATGTATAAAAGATTTGTTAACAATTCGATATTAATATTTAGGCTTTTATGCACAATTAAAACACACAATTCATATTTGAAAATCACAAACATCATTTAAAACAGATTCTATACACTAAATCAAATATTGCCGTTCCAAATGAACAGGCCGACATTCCACGTTTTAGTTCATATCATTCCTTCTATGTATGTTTATAGTTTAATTTAACAATAAATGATTGTTTCTCCCGATATGAATGTTGAATTTATAATTTCCACTATTAAACAGAAACTAATCAACTGTTTTAGATGCAACACATATTTTGGATTTATGTGTTTGTTTTTAGTTTTGAATAATAAAAATTTACAAACTTTATTTGTTTTCACAATTCGTTTTTTATATTTTAAATAACACTGCATATAGAACTGTCACTGCCATCGTCAAAAGCGAAAAGTTGTTGCTTTTAAATCCTATTTTTATAATATAAAAAATTAAATAAATAATAAACAAAAATAATAATTTTTTCAGCAACATTTTCAAATTAAATTAATCAATTTAAGTTACTCTTTCTAGGTTAACCTATATGTCTTCAAATATCTGAGGTAATAAAAGCATACTAAAAATATTAGTTCACTAAGTAAATTAAACACATCCAAAGCAATCGAATCAAATATAAAATATTATTAAAAATTAAAAGAAATAATTTTTATAAACATTTATGTAGGTGTTGATTCTATCCTCCGTGAACCTGTTTTTGCTTTATGCAACGGATGGCGCTTTAATCATTTTAAATAAGCAAAAACCTCTGTTTACGACATTATAGATGCATGTGATTACTGAAGGTCAGTTAGAATTTATATGCAGATGGGAGTGTTGCTGTTTTGTAATTCAAAAGTTTAAGTTCATTAATTTGCTATCCTATCCACCGTGAAGTGTAATATCTTAATATATTCACTAGACTGGGCCAAAAAAATTGACTATTTTTTTTTTTTGAAAAATATATCGAGAATGTCATTCAGAATGACAAAAAAAAAATTTCGTGAAAATTTGAGCCCTCAATATTAATTTTAAGAGGTCTATCATCGCTATTTTTGATTTTTAGTCATAATATGATGTTTTACGTTGGAACTGTCAAAACAATAAAGTGAAAAAAATTCCTTGTCACTTATTTTTATAAAAAATTAAATTCTCTACAAAAAAGGTCTGATTGAAAATTTTCGCCAGACGAGCCGTTTCCGTGTAATTGAGCTTAATAAATCGATGTGTTTTTTCGATTTGCCCTTTTTACTTTGAAATTTTGTAACTAATGAATCAATGAATATTTAAAAAAGCTCACGTCGGATTCTTAAAGGAAATTTAATGTTCTACAAAAAAGGTCTCGGAACATTTTTGCCTAAATTTAATTCTTCAAAAGTTATTCACGAAGAAAAAATTGAAATTTTAAGTTTTTCTTCGATTTTAATCGTGAATAACTTTTGAAAAATTAAATTTAGGCAAAAATGTTAAGAGACCTTTTTTGTAGAACATTAAATTTACTTTAAGAATCCGATGTGAGCTTTTTTAAATATTCATTGATTCATTAGTTACAAAATTTCAAAGTAAAAAGGGCAAATCGAAAAAACACATCGATTTATTAAGCTCAATTACTCGGAAACGGCTCGTCTGACGAAAATTTTCAATCACACCTTTTTTGTAGAGAATTTAATTTTATATAAAAATAAGTGAAAAGGAATTTTTTTCACTTTATTATTTTGACAGTTCTAACGTAAAACATCAAATTATGACTAAAAATAAAAAATAGTGATGATAGACCTCTTAAAATTAATATTAAGGGCTCAAATTTTCACGAAATATTTTTTTTGTCATTCTGAATGACATTCTCGATATATTTTTCAAAAAAAAAAATAGTCAATTTTTTTGGCCCAGTCTAATATTCACCCATATGTATGTACATATGTATGGGTGAATATATTGAGATATTATATATATATTATATAATAATTCATTTTAATATTAACTATGATGTATAACAGCAAAATAAAACAATTTGAATAGTAATTTTTACCGTAATAAATTATGTTCATTTTTGTCAGTTAACTATTGTAATAGGTAATTTATTTATAAACCTATTCAGTTTAATTTTAATAAATTAATTTTAAAATAACCGGACATAATTTAATAATAGTAAATATTTATAATAAACATTAATGTAAATCGCTCAATTTGAATTTTAATCAAATACATTTTAATAACGCTAATTAAAATTGTACAAATCAATAAAAATGAATATTTCGCTATTTTTAACGGTACACCATTTGTCCCCATTTTTCAATGTAGGGGGCCATTTTGTGGGGGCATTTTTCGAATGGGTTAAAATTTTGAATTTCTTCCTCGTAAATGTAGATTTTCTTCGATAGAAGCTTTTCCGGGTCTGTCAAACGACAACTTTTTTCCTCGTAGCCTGGCCGAAAACCCGCCATTAATTTTCGTTCGCTGTTTTGAGTCATTTTTTTCTCCACAGGAAGAGGTGTATTTTTGCAGAAATCCTTATCGTACGTACTTTGCAGCCTATCTTTGTCGAATTTCGCGAGGAAACCCTCTTGGGGCGTTTCCTCCAAACACACAAAAACCTCTGGGAATCTCTCCTTAAGGCTCTTTAAGTACGCACTGGGGCTTAGATATTCAGCTTCTTTTTTCGGCACTGCGTTTTCAGGATACAGCGTGGGGTTCAGTAGTACCCCCATTGGTCCCCCTCGGCTCCAAGATGCTTCCCCTGCACCAGCAACCATATTCTGCTCCTGCTCTTCTTTTTGATCGTAACAGGTGCATTTTTGGTCTCCAACCTGGTAGAATTGCTTTAAAAAGTCTTCGTTGTTTCTTAAACTACAGTTGGGATGGACGTACGGCCACAGGTAGTCCTTTCTGTATGTTGTTTTGAATTGATCCATCACAGTAATTTTGAAAAATTTAAACAAATAATTTTATAACCCTAAATTCATTTTTGTTGCTGATTAAGTCAAGGTTTGTTGTCAAATCATTGACAAGATACAGGGTGTTATGTAATTAATGTTATATATTAAAATACTGAATACCTTTTGACATAAGGAATAAAGGAAAAATATTTTAAAAAGCATATAAAGAAAAAATATGCATTAGAAGTTTTTTATATTTTTTGTGATACGCCACTGGTTACACACTTGTTTATCTCTGCACACCTGTTTTTTGTGAGTACATAGATACCAACCAACAAAGTAGCTATGCGTTGCCAGATGTAAAAAATTGTTACTAAAAATTTTTCTTGCAAAAAATAAATAAAAACTCAATAAATACAAAAGTTTTATGCCCTTAAAGCTCTAATACCCTTCTGTATTTATTTACTGATCCAGCCATTAGCTTAAGCAATGATTACAAAATTTAGTACCTTTGAAATTTGAAATCCATAACCACAAAATTAGTTTTTTCATCAGTTTTTTTCTCTGTTTACTCAGATGAAATTGGGACCAGTTCACAGGTTAAACTTTAAACATTTAATTTGTGTAAATAAATCCAAAAGCACTTCCCTTAGTTAAGATATTTACAATTTGAAAACATAACCTAAAATTTAAAAGAAATGCACTAGATTCTGTCATAAAAGTTGGCAGATTTTCTTTGAATTTACCTTCAGTACAAAAATGAAATAACCAACAATTAATAAAACGCCAAATTGACAATTTGCATTGTTAATTTTGTCATTTTTGTAATTAAGCTAAATTTAAACAATGTTTGTCAACTTTTTTGAGAGATTTTGGAAAAACTGTTGTTACCAACCATAACATAATAAATCCACCAGATTAACCTAAAGTTCCTAGTCGATCAGTGGCGTACTTTTTGGTAGGATAAAGGATATTATAAATTATTTTTAGACTTTGGAATTTAGAAAAAAAAAGTTTCAGGTGCTTCTTTATGGACCCTAAGGAACAACCCATTTTAATATATAACATTAATTACATAACACCCTGTATACAGAAAATACCAAACTACCAGACAGACTTTATTAAAAAAGATCTTGTATTAGGGCGTCAAAAAATTATCATAGCTATAGGGGCACTTGCGTTTTCTTGAAGTGCATGTCATTTTTCTGCACAATGCTTTCCGATCCCCACCAGGAACGTGCTCCTTTACTTTGCAGTAATCCACTTCGTAAGTGCTCCGCAGTCTATCTCTATTCACCCTAGCTATAACATCCACTTGCGGTGCTTTAGCCAAGCACTTAAAAATATCGGGAAATTTTTCCTTGAGATTCTTTAAAAACACCCCAGGGTGTGTGAACTTGGTAGATTGCAAACCTGGTTTCGCTACGGCATTTTCAGGGTTTAGCAGTTCTTCCTGGACTCTTTGGGCGCAGTGACAAGAGCATTTTGGGTTGCCGGATAAGTAATACTGTCTGAAAAAATCGTCCTTCGTTTTTAAACTGGTATTGTGTACGTTTTGGTTGACATAGTCTTTTCTGTAAGTTGTTACAAACTGGTCCATTACGAGAATTTTGAGAAGTTTTTATCCAATTTTGATGAAGTATGTCAAAAAGTTATAACCTTAAAAGTTTGTCGTATGCCGCGTAGTGGATTTAGCCAAGTTAAGGTCGAGATAAAGTCCCATCACCAGGTCATTAGATTTCTAATGTAGTGTGGCTTAAACAATTCCATTAGTTCCGCTACATGAAACTTGGCTATCGTAACTGTCAGCAACGGAAGGGACAATCCCTTTTCGTTTAAAATAAATCTTTTTTAATAATATTAATAAAATTTATGTAAATTTATTGTTAATTCAATAAACTATTTTCATTGTCTGCTTCCTTTATAGAATAGACCTTAAATTTTTCTTTTAGAAAACGTCGAAATTTTAATTTTCTTAGTGATCTTTTTGATATTTTTATCGTGCTAGATTTTACCACACTTCACTCGCACAAGTGAAATCAATAAGATTATAACACAGACTGAGGATTATAAAGTTATGTTCACCAAGAACAGCGCTGGCCCTTTTCCCCTCTTTTTAAGGGAAATAACAACAATTTTGTTACCATTGCAAAACAATAGTAAATATTAAAAAAGTCTTTATAGCAATACAAATTTTCTAACTGAAATAAAATTAATTTGAATTACAACGATAGTAATTTAAAGAAGACAAATATGCCATGGTAAAATGAACAAATTTTACTATAACAACTGCGCATTTTGCCTTTTTATCAATGATATTTCCAATTTTGTAAAGTGTCATCATTTGATTTTTGCTGATGACTTGAAGTTGTTCGTTGATGTTTCAGATGCATCAGACTGTGTATACCTACAAAATCTGCTAAACTTAATAAATGAATGGTGTATCCACAATATATTATATATATATTACCGATATTCAAAAAAAGTCTATAGACTTTTTTTGAATATCGGTAAATGTAAGGTGTGTACCTTTACTCTAAAAAAATATATAATTATTTTTGAGTACACAATTAATGACGATTCCATATCAAGGTGTACAGGTACCAGAGACTTGGGAGTATATTTTGATACCAAATTATCATTTTCAGACCACATCACTAGTATTGTAAAATCTGCTCTTAAAATGGTTGGTTTTATAAATAGAAATACTCAATCAATGAATTGTGAGGGTGCATTGAAAGTTTTGTATTATTCATTGGTTCGTACCAAGCTAGAGTACTGCTCTCTTGTTTGGTATCCATGCCTACACTGATCAATTAGAAAGAGTACAAAATTTTAGCTTTTAAATCTGCTCTTAAAATGGTTGGTTTTATAAATAGAAATACTCAATCAATGAATTGTGAGGGTGCATTGAAAGTTTTGTATTATTCATTGGTTCGTACCAAGCTAGAGTACTGCTCTCTTGTTTGGTATCCATGCCTACACTGATCAATTAGAAAGAGTACAAAATTTTAGCTTTTAGGCTTGACAATATTTATCCTGCTAAAGGTACTGAACATATTTTATTGTTGAATAGATTCAATGTTAGGTCCTTGCAATGTAGAATATTTTTATTAAGTATTAAATTTCTGTACGGGCTGTTCAGTATTGAAATAGACAGTACGTTTTTGATATCACTGTTTAACATTCACGGACCACGAATTAATGCTAGATTTCAACTTTCTATAATACATATGCCAAAACCAATGTTCTTTTGAAATCTCCAGTATTTGTCATGAGTGGTAACTTCAATAAAATATGCAATGAATGTGATATTGCAGTTGCCACTATTGAAAATATTACAACGTTGGCCATAAATTAGTACAATAATGATATTTCTTTTAAGTATAGAAAAAATCCCATTAGCAGTGCTAAATACCATTGCAGTTCAATCCGTCCGTGCTGGATATAAATTGTTGAAAATACACAACAAGGGAAAGCATTAACGAACCATCCAATGGGCCATTAACAGAAAAAGCTTTATATGTCAATGGCACTATCATAAATCATAAACCAATTATCGCCATTATCCAAAAATTACCAACGTTCGAACAATATAAAAACCAACACGTCTAGTGCGGCACATGCAGTAGCTGCTAATATTCGCCCCAACACCCTTTAAACAAGTTATTGTTCCAGTATTAACTTTATTAAATTGCGAACACTATTTTATTTCCGATAAAAATCCATTTCATATTAGTTACATTGCTACACAAAATTTTAACCGCAATTAATTATTTTTTACAATGTTTTACAAGTCTAAAACCTATCCTCCGTGACTCTCTCTAGGTTAACCTATATGTTTTCAAATATCTGAGGTAGTAAAAGCATATTAAAAAATCAGTTCACTAAGTAAATTAAACACATCCAAAGCAATCGAATCAAATATAAAATATTATTCAAAAATAAAAGAAATAATTTTTATAACCATTTATGTAGGTGTTACAAAAATTGATTCTATCCTCCGTTAATCTGTTTTTGCTTTAAATTTTATGCAACGGATGGCGCTTTAATAATTTTAAATAAGCAAAAACCTTTGTTTACGACATTATATATGCATGTGATTCCTGAAGGTCAGTTAGAATTTATATACAGATGAGAGTGTTGCTGTTTTATAACTCAAAAGTTTAAGATCATTAATTTGCTATTTGAATACCTATCCACCGAGAAGTGTAATATCTCAGTAAGTAGATTATTTTTAGCAATTTTTTTGCAATATTGTGAAAAAAAAATAATTTTTTGACTTGCAAACATACAAATTCAAATTTGATTACCATTTATGGAGTAAGGGTACCCAAATTACTTGAGATTCTCGATTAACTTAAAAAACTGAAAACCTGTCTAAACCAAAAATCTTTGTTTTTCCTTTGGTCACCATATTGAAATTTTACATGGTTATAAGAAAAAAATCAACCAATTCAAAACAAAATATGGTGATGGTAACTTTCCCATTTCTGGGAATTTAAAAACAAAGTAAGTTTCACATTTATCTACATTTTTAACCAATTTGTGAAAAAATAGAAATCCCTTCTAATACTCGCAGAATTTTGCCAATATTCCATTCCCAAAGTAGTGGAACACCCTGTATATTAAAACGAACTCGAGCGTAAAAAACTCTGATCATAATTTACTTTGTGTAACTAAAAACTTTTTAATTTTTCTTTAGGAAAGAGTTTTTCCGAAACACTAATTATGGACGCGGGTGCACTAAATACGAGTAATGAAGGAACTTTATAATTGGCGTTTAATATTTGTTAATTGTTACCCAGTTCAATAAGAAATTTGCATTTCAAACGCGTGATCTTATGCAAGCCGCCGAAACTTATTTGAAACTTTAAACAAAGAAAAAGCTTCACTTTGAAGAGCCCGTCTTATAACTAACATTTCAAATTTTACATTTTGAATGTTAATTTTTATTATTTAAAAGTCATACATTTCAAATTTTTAATTGACATTGTGTTATATTCACATGATGCATTTTTTTATTTGAATACATAGTCTTAAGTTTACTTGAATAACGCAAATAAAAATCTATTACAACACTACAATAATTAAAGCAGTTTTTGCAAAAAGTTGCAAGTTAAGGATATAACGTGGTAAAACAATAAGTGTTTGGCCAAACGATATGAGATAAAGTAAGCAGCGCCCGACGGACAAGAAACGAAGCTGGGCGATAGCATAACATAAAAATAAGGGTAAATCTCTTTAAGAAAACGGGCGATAATGAACTTTTATAACTATCGCATGGCGTCGCACTATGGTCAAAAAGCAGCGTTTTGCGGACAAAATTCAATAAGATTTTTATTACAAATAAATATAATTTTTTTCTTTTTTAAAGGTTTTTATTTTTTAAATGCGTTTTTGGATTATCATTAAGCACTGTTGTGCATGACGCTCTCAATTGCGGAAATAACCCAATATTTTTTTTATTGCATAAAAATATTATTTTTTTTATTTTTTACTTTGTAAATATAACGGTTTTTATTTTTTAAATGCGTTTTAGACGTCTCTAGAGCATTCATTGAGGAAATAATCAAAAAACCTTTTTATTATTTACTGTGTTAAATAAGACTTAATGGGTATAATTAACTTTATTTTAATAACAAAAAATAAAGGTCTTTATTTTTTGTTCGCGGTAAAACGATTGCGAAAATAATTCAATAACTTTTTTATTGTAAATAAATACATATTTTTTTATCTATCTTAAGCACACTAAGAAATAAATAAACATAATTTGAATTTTATCATTTATTCCGTTAATAATTCCTTAACTTCTTCAAGTGTGAATTGATTTTCATCCAACTTTGGAAATCTTCTCTTTAATTTTCAGAAAATAGACTTACGTCTTTGTCACTATTTAAAAACTGAAAAGAAACGCAGAAAGTACTCATTTTCAAAAACCACAAAATAGTCTAAGTTATATTTGCTTTCGCTATATAATATATAATATATTATGTAAAATATTGTTACCTTATAAATGAGCGAATAATGTTTCACCTAAAAGTTTGTGATACAAAACAAGGGATTATTAATTAATTTATAAAATATTTTTCCTTTAATACCTAATAGGTAATTAATTATTAACCCTATAGGATAAGTATACTTTGTATATATTTTTTAATAATATTATAAAAAAATGTAATACATGTTGAAATATTTATAATAATTAATAAATTGGACGGCTTTCTGCAGAATGGAACCAACCCACACCATGATGAAACTGAGAAAAAAGCTATCAAAGATTTTAATAATTTTAAAATTACCTGTTAATTTTATGCCGATTTTGGACTTACGGAGGTTTAAGGGATATAATTTAATAATTTCATCAGGTGGATTTTGTGATGTTATGTGTAAGGGTGACGAAAAAATGGGCTTTTGTTGGTTGGTTCCTTTCTGCAATTTATGAAAACTATTATCTGATGTATGTATGTATTTAAAGAAAAGCGACAATTATTTAATAAATAATATTTATTTTCAAACAAAATACAACTGATATTACTATTATAATGGTAATATGAATTAATTTTGATTCTATTTTAAATTCCATCATTTTCCAACCCCACCTCATCTTGTA